GCCTGTGTGATCACGAGGTGTCGAAGGGATCAGTTATCAGGCATCAAAGAACAAAAAATCATATCATTGTGAATGAGGGGGAGTGTAGAGTGGGGACCCAAAGCCCATCTGTAGGCAAATGTTAGCTGTTCTTGATGTCATCCCACAACTTGTTAGGCTTTCTGTTCTTGTTCTCAAAATTCAGGTAGGATATACTCGAGGTTCTGGGCTTAATTTCCTTCAGCTTCAACCTGAACTTACACATGAACAATTGGTGGTCTGGTTTTAGCTGCTGCTGTTGAACTTCTCATCTTGTCTCCCTACAGATGTAGTCAATTTGATTTCTCTGTATTCCATCTGGAAAAATGCAAGTGTACAGCTGCTGTTTACATTGTTGAAAAAAGTACTTGCTATGAACAAGTGGTTGGTCTTGCACAATTTTATCATGAGGTCTCCAGCTTCGTTTCCATCACCAAGACTGTATTTCCCAGTGACTGTTACTTCCTCTTTTCCCAACGTTTTCCCCACACTAACCAATTAAGTATTCATGTACCTTGGTCAATTTGGGACGGAAGATGTGGCAGAATTCTTTAATTTCTGCATCACTGACTAGAGGTACAGGAGTCCTGGTGGTGCTTTCAGGGAGAGAGATGTGGCTCTCCACTCCCGTGAGGAGGGCTAGTCTCTGAGACCCACAGGGCAGTTCTACCCTGTCTTAGAGGGCTGCTATGAGTCAGCACTGACTCAATTCCAGTGAGTAGTAGCATTATTGGCTGGTGCATAGATGCATGAATAATAGTTCTATTGATTGGATATTATCCTATCAGACAGTATTATACCATATAGATCTTGAAATGTTTGGACTATGAATGCCATGCCATTATTTTTTGTCATTCCCAGCATAGTAAACCATATGATTTTCTAATTCAAAATGGCCAATACCACTTCAGCTCACTAATACTTAGGATATTGATCTTAAGTGTTCCAGTTAACTTTTAATAACTCCCAATTTTCCTAGATTCATACATCTCAAGTTCCGGCTAGATTTTTTTTTTTGCAGCTGTTTCTTCTCAAAATGAGTCATGCTCCATTAGCAGATGAAGGTCCCAAAGGCTTTTTTACTCCACTCACATCATTACGGTTGATTCACTTTGAGAAGGCCACTTTCCCTGTCATGCTACGAGTGCTTTCTGAAGTGCCGAGCTCTGCTGGCCCTACCTGACAATGTTCTGCTTCTGTTCACTGGGTTTTCAGTATCTGACATTGTTGCTATACATAGTGTTTTCAGTGGCCAGTTGCTCTGAAGTAGCCAGTTCCTTCTCGTCTTCCTCATCTGCTCTACAAAGCCATTATTGCCCCTAATGCTATACATCTACAAAGCAATCTCTATCCAAATTCTGTTTTTCTGATTTTTACTATTATAAGATGGGAAAAACCCATCCTAGAACTCATATGCAATTTCAACAGTACCACTAGAGAGAATGAAAAGACAATTAAGAATGGCTGAATGGATTTGTAAACCACGTGATATCAAAGCACCTGGTGGTGCTATGGGTTAGGCGTTGAGTTGCTAACCACAAGGTCGGAGGTTGAAACACACACGTCACTCCGTGGGAGAAAAGCTGCAGCAGTCTGCGCCTAGAGAGTCAACAGTCTCAGAACATTGTGGGGTTGCTGAGTTGGAGTCTACGCAGTGGGAGCGGCACCATGTGTTGTTAACATCGGAATGTATTAAAAATGCCTTTAAGTCAACAACAATTTCTAAGTGGCCACAAGACATGAGTAGACATCTCTCTGAAGATAGAAAAATGACCAATAAGCACATGAAAAGATGCTAAAAGGTCATTAGTTGTTAGCAAAATGCAAATCAAAATATGACTGAAGTCACTTCACACCCACTGGGAGGGCTATTAAAAAAACAAAACAAAAAAACCCAGAAAAAAGTGTTTGTAAGGCTGTGGCGGATTTGGTATTCTTTGTTCAATAGTAGGGGTAATGTAAAATGGTAGCTACCATGGAAAGAAACTTGGCAGTTGCTCAGGAAGTTAACACAGAAGTGTCACATGGCCCAATAATTCCACTTGCAGGTGTACACTCAAAGAAAAACAAGGACTACTTGTATGCCACTGTTCACATTATTCACAATAACCAAAAGATGGAAGCAACCCAAGTCTACCAACAGAGGGCACTACACAAAATGTCACACCCACACACACACAATGAGCCATGAAAAAAAAGATGGTCTGACCATGCTACAAAATGGAATGAAAGCATTATGCTGAGCGAAATACACCAGTCACAAAAGGACAAATATTGTATAATTTCATGAGTAATTCTACATGAACTACCAAGATAGCCAAATTCAGAGAGACAGGTTAGAGTTCCTATTTGGGGTGATGAAAACTTTTGGAAGCGTATCCTGGAGATGGTTACAACATTGTGAAAGTCATGTCACTCACTTTCAATTGTGTACTTAAAAAAGTGCTTAAAATAGCCAACTTTTGTTATCGATAATCTTACAATAAAGTTTTTTTAAATCCAAAGTTTAAGAGGGAAATAGGGACACTTGAATAAAAGAAAATAGATCCACAGAATAATGTTCATAAGTAAAAAGCAAACAGATGTGTAGTCATAGAAAAAGGAAATGTTATTTCATTCATTATAATTTTTATTTTGAATAGCTTCAATCAAAAAAGATTTCATAAGGTTATTTACAGTTTTGAATGTACAATTATGAATGTGTGCCTTTTTTGACAACAGGGTACCATTCTTGAGCAGCAATACACTTTTAAAAATATAAAGATGCTGTAGCATTTCTGATATAAAGTTACTTAAAAAACCCCAAGGTCTTAGGGAATTCACAAATCATAACAGGAAGTAGCTGTTTTATTCATTTAATGTGTACATAATTACCAAATTTTAATACATTAAAAATAGGTGTAAATGCTCACAAGACTATACAAAATTAACACCCCATTTATACAGATATATTTTTAAAAATCCCAACCACCTCCCCCATATATATACAAAACAAAGCAAAAACCAAAAGACTTACTTCCAGATATGTCAAAATTACATGCATGGAATCTTAAGAATGTTTCCTAAAGCTTGAATTGTACTCTTTTCTGGATGTTTTAACGACAGCTGTTTTTGAAACAGACTCCATAAATGTATTGATATATTATTTATCATGCTTCAGAAACTGTGCAGCACTTCAATGAACATAAACAAAATAAATAGTACAGGCTGCGGCAGTTTTATTTAAATGCAAGTGCAATTTGGAAAGCTTTCAAATCTGAGGATTATAAAACTAATATAAAAAAAGGATTCTTTTGTTGTTGCTGTTGGCTTAGCCACTTTCATTCAAGCATTATCTGCAGCATTGCTTTACAGCAGTTGGTGCCATAGATACGAAACATATAATACCACTATTTATATTTGAGGGAGGAGGGGAAAAGAAAAACTTTAAACAACCCTGAGGGAGACACACATTAAAAATCTTGTTATTTATTTAAAAAGTTACATATCATTATTTAACAATTACTTCCTCAGACATTTCTGTCCTTATGTGCATAAATAAAATTTAAATCCGTAATATTTATTAATCTTAATACATCAAAATAATATATGTACAGATTTTTAAATTTAGGTCTGTATACACTCAAATAATTTAATGTTAACGTAAGAATCAAAATTACTATGTACTGGAGACCTACACAGAGAAGACCCCATCCCTCCATGGCACTGTGAAGGACCCACACCTGCACTCCCAGTCTTCAGACAGCCACCCATCACGGCGTCAGCAACCGGCCGCCCATCTATGTTCAAAACTAACGTCCTACAAACGCTCTTCCAATTACCAAAAAATCTCACTCCTTTGAAAACAATACGGACATCTGAAATATAAAACCCATATAAACTCTACATGTTTAAAAATAGGGGGGTGGGGAAGAACACTTCAAAAATAGTTATTTATGAACATGCTCTTGGAGGCGTTAAGCACAATTTGATAACTGGATTTTTAAGCTGCTACTTAGCAATTACTTTAAGTCTATGCCTCAATATTTAAAACAAAGGATTAAAAGCACAATTGTGGGAAATGGCTAAACAAGAACACTTGGACATACTGAAAAATATGGAAATTATAAAACTATCAAGAGATTAAGTAACTCTAGAAAACGGTGCTAATTCACAGCTCAAAAGGTCTAAGATGCATAGCTTTATAGAATCATTCATGGAAAAATCATTCTGTAATCTAATGTATTATATACTTTTTAATGGAAAACTTCGATTACAGTTTGTGAGAATCATCACTGGTGACAGCAAGAACAGTGATCCTGAGTGTAACCTACATTTCCTATAGTTACCAAGCATCATCCAAGTCTCTGCAGCATAAAGGAAAGCCATTTGGCTCTACTGTTCTGGATGATATCTGATAAATTATTTCTGTCTATCAAGGAAATAATGATCAGCCAGAAGTGGGAAGCACAGGTTTGCTACTGGTTTAGGAAGCACACAGGAGAACAAGAGATTCCATTTTGCAGCAGGATTAGTTCTCTGGGTTTATCATCCCTGTAGGGCTTGGTCCCACTGCTGGAAACCTACCTAGAAAACAAACTTTTCAAGAGACTTTAGTATTGTTTCTATCTTAAACATTGACCACAGAGAAAGGTGGGGAAAAAAAAGGTTTTCCACGTTTCTTTTGGCTCAATGCGTATTTATTGTTGGATTTTTTTTTTATTCCTTCATGCTTTTGTTTTTCTCCTCCAAAATTGCCACAAATGTGTTTCTTTGTAAATAGATTATCTGATTTCAAATAGGTAAAATCTGGCATTTGGCGCCACCTAATGACATAAAACAAATGGCCACCACGCACACAGTGCATTGAAAACAATCAGCAGTCATTCAAACCAGCTCATTCTCCCCCTTTTCAATTCCATTACTCAGGAAAGACATAGAGCCAACTTAGAAAATCTTGGAGGAGATGCTAAGAATTTAAATACAAGACCCTAACTATTATCCTATGTCTTTAAATAATTAAAAAGGTCAAAGTAGCAAAGAAAATAACATTTAAAATAATATAAAGCATAAAAAAGGAAAACGAAACAAAAATCCTACCCAGATATGAAGCTATTAGAATGAGAGATTTACATGTACTGGGCAAAGGAAGGGAATCTTCTTCACCTCATGAAAAAGGTCTACATCATTGAACTGAAGCGACTTTAACAACTGATACCACGTACAGCACACGATCCATTTAATAGCTTTGACAGACATCACACGAAGGCAGTGAAGCACCTTGCTGATTAGAAAAATAAAACCCAGGTAGTTTGTACAGAAAATATAAAAGCGTCCTAAGTGGAAATTACCTGAGTTGTTCTATCAGCAATATCATATAATCTCACTCCTAACTCTGGGCTATCAAAAGGAAGAGCATTATACAAATTATTTGGAAAAAAATATTGGAATCAGATGAATGCAAGGTTGTGACTTGTTTTCACTAGAGACTCAATAACTACCATTTCTTTTTATTAATCACACAGCTAGGACCTGTGTGTAGACAATGACTTTTTCTACCAAGATGGACTATAAAAATACATTTAAAGGAGACAGTCAATCCTGAAAAACCTACTAAACATTGAAGATAGCAATCAAGAAAAGATCTGAAAATGCGTACACTATTTGAAGTTGGCGATCACAAGACTTCACAGATGGATTGACTGACAAGCCAGTACCTTTTGTTTTGTTTAAAGCAAACGAATGAACAAGGCTCTAAAATCAACGGTTGTAACCTAAAGAGCACGAGGGGGCTCGAATGAACTGGCCTCACTCTTGACACACAAGATCCTGGAAGCCTGTTTCCTTGAACACTGCGCTGAGCACACCACAAAGAGCGCGGCCACGTCACTGCAGTGTGAGAGTGATCTGACACGACCCGTTCTCCCTCAGTAAAGCCTTAGCTTCTGTGGTTGTCTGTGGCTTGGGTGGCCATTCTGGGTCCACCAAGAGCTCCTGCGCCAAGTACATGTACTTTGCCTTTGGTATCTTCTTTTTACAGCTCAGGAACCAGGACAGGCAACACCTCCCCCAACGATCCACTGACTCCTAAGAAAAGAAGGAAAAAGCACACTAGTTGGTTGAAGGCTTCTTTAAACAGGTTTTAACATACTACAAATAGGAGGAAATGATCTCTGAGAACCACACACACATACACACACACACACACACACACACAACCTTAAAAAAAATGCATATTTAGAAAATCCTTTCACTTAGGTCTGGGAGAAATGTATTTTCAATTAGAATTTGTTGTTGTTATTCATGTAATCCGCCTCGTGCTATTTAGTTGCACAAGGGGACTTCAAAGTTTGTGGAAAATTTGCACCATCTTTTACTTCTATTTTTGTACTTTTTGAAGTCCCTTCTCATGTACCAAAACCCTTTGTGGTACAGAAACCACAAAATGTCTAATATATTAAGAATAACTTTACTCACAAAGAGAAAATATCTGGATATTATTCATATTCTGATATTCAAATATCTGAATGCCTTTCATATTCTATGCCAAACTACCAGTGGGCACTATTTGTTCCTAGCCACTCAGCCACTTGACCATTTTTTGGAGAAGATAGTAGTGTAAAGATATTATTATTAGTGTTACTACCATCTTTGAAAAATGTAAGCTTGAAGTAAATAATTCTAACACAAAGTCTGAATTTAGACCATGCTTAGTAATGGTAATCACTTACTAAAAATCAAATTCTCACCAATACAAAAAACCCAGAAATTTTATTTTACTAAGTCAGTTTCCTTTGGTACTCTATTGAGAAAAAGAGGTTCATAGAAAGTTTCAAAGCAATTATTTCTTAGTTATCATTTTATTATTAAAAGCACTTTTGCCACTGAAATCCTTCTGATCATTCAGGATGTTATTATTAAGTGTGCCCTTATAAAATAATTAAGAAAACAACAAATCAGTGTTTCTAGTTATTGTATGGTTGTTAGGATCTAGCAAGCCAGTCGCAGCTCAGAGCAGCCCTATACACAGTAGAACGAATGAAGCAAAGTCGTGTGCACCATCCCCACCATCATAATGTTGGAGCCCATCATTGCAGCCACAGTGTCAATCCATCTCCTTGAAGGGCTTCCTCTTTTTTGCTGACCTTTGCCTTTCCCAAGCCTGATGTCTGTTTATTAGGGAAGGGTCTCTCCTGATAAGATGTACAAAGTATGTGAGACCAAGTCTCACCATCCTCACTTCTAAACAAGAAAAGCTTGTTTGTTCATCTGACAGTCCACAGTATATATTTTCAATATTCTTTGCCAACACCATAATTCAAACACACAGATTCTTCTTCAGTGTCCCTTATTCAATGTCCAGCTTTCACATACATATGAGGTGACTGAAAATGTCATGGTGTGGGCCAGGTGCACTTCAGTCTTTAAAGCAGCATCCTTGCTCTTCCACCCTTTACAGAGGCCTTGTGCAGTGCATTTGCTCCATACTGTTTGTCGTTTGCTTTCTTGTCTCTGGTTCCCAAAGCATTGACTGTGGATCCTAGCAAAATCAAATCCTTGACAACTTCAATCTTTTCTCCACTTACCACCATGTTGTTTCCTGGTTCAGCTGTTAGGAATTTGATTTCCTTCACACTGAGTTGTAGTCCATGCTGAAGGGTATGGTTCTTAATCCTCACCAGCAAGTGCTTCAAGTCCTCTTCATGCTCCGCAAGTAAGGCTGTGGCCATCATCACAATTAATTATCCTTCCTCTAATCCTGATGCCGAGTGCTTCCTCATAATCTAGCATCTTAGATTATTTGCTCAATAGACACGACCCTTTCCTGACTGCAAATCATGTGGTATTGCTTTGTTGTGCTAGCAAGACACCCTCTTGGCTCATGTACAGACCCCACATGAGTATATTAAAAGTGTTGGAAATTCCCATTCCTCTCAATGTTACTGATAGTCTGCTATGATCCACACAGTCAAATAACTTTGCAGTCAATAAAACACAAATAAAAGTAAACATCTTTCTGGTTTTCTGACTTCAGCCAAGATTTAACTGACATCAGCAATGATATCCTCTCATGCCACATCTTCTAAATCCAGCTTGAATTTCTGGCAGCTTCCTGTCAGTGTACTGCTGCAACTGTTAACGAATGATCGTCATCAAAATGTTACTTGCGTGTGATATTAATGATGCTGTTAAATGACCGGTACATTGTTGGGTCACTTTTTTTTGGAATGGAAACAAATATGGATCTCTTCCCGTCAGTTGGCTAGGTGGTTGTTTTCCAAATTTCTTGGCACAGGTTTTATCAGCTGGTTAAAGCATTTCATTTTGCATTCATTCTATCAGTTACTGGAGCCTTGTATTTGGCTGCTAATGCCTTCAGTGCAGCTTGAACTTCTTCCTTCAACACCATCGGTTCTTGATCATATGCTACCTCTTGAAGTGGATGAATTTGACTTGTTCTTTTTAGTACCATGACTCTGTATTTTTTCCATCTTCTTTTGATGGTTCCTGCATCATTCAATAATTTACCCATAGAATTCTTCAATATTGCACCTTAAGGCCTGACTTTCTCCTTCAGTTATTTCAGCGTGCAATGTGTTCCACGTGGTTTTCCTTTTTAGCGATTAAACTACAGGTTAGTACATTTCATTATACTACTTTCCTGAAGTCTTCTCCAGCTGCTTTTTGAAATTTTCTACCCAGTTCATTTACTTCATTTCTTCCGCTACCGTTCAAGAGCCTCGTGTGACACCCTCTTCTTCATGTATTTTTAATGACCTTTCGCTTTTGTCATTAATAATGTTCTTGATGTCATCGCACAGCTACCAGGTCTTCTGTCATTAGTGTCCAACATGTCAAAGCTGTTCTTGAGATGTCTGACATTCAGGTGGGATATACGAAGTCGTATTTTGGCTCTCGAGGATGTTTTCATTTTCAAGATCAACCTGAACTGACACGTGAGCAACTGAAGGTCAGTTCCACAGCTGACCCCTGCCTTGTTTTGGTTGATAACATCGGACTCCTCTATTGTCTCTTCCCGCAGCTGTAGTCCATTTGATTCCTCTGTATTCTATATGCCTAAGTCTACGTGGACAGCTGCCGTCTATGTGTTGAAAAAAGGTATTTGCAATCAAATAGTCATTGGTCTTTGTTTGGTCTGCACAGTTCTATCATGAGCTCCCTGGCTTCATTTCTGTCACCAAGGTCATCCTGCCCAACTACTTTCTCTTGCTCTTTATTTCCAACTTTTGCATTCCAATCACCGATAATTATCATCTTGATTATATGTTTGATCCATTTTAGGCTTAATAAGTGGTAAAATTTTCAATTTCTTCATCACTAGCTTTAGTTGTTGGTGTGTAAATCACAATAATAGTTGTATTAATTGGACTTCCTTATATGTGTATAGATTTTATCCTATCACCGACAGCATAGTACTTCAACATATGTCTTGAAAGGTTCTTTTTATTTCTTCGTTATTTATTGTTTATATATATTTTAAAAATTATTTTATTGGGGACTCATATAATTCTTATCACAATCCATATATACATCCACTGTGTCAAACACATATGTACATTTGTTGCCATCATCGTTCTCAAAACATTAAATGCAACATCATTCTTATCATAGTAAACTACATGACTCATTAAAAATGGCTTAATCAACTCCACTTCGGCTCTCTAATGCCCAAGATACCTATGCTTATTCATTTCATTTTGATTACTTCCAATTTTCCTACTATATTCACGCTTTGTAAATTCCATGTACCAATTATTAATAGATGTTTCATTTTGCATCATACCATTAGGCTCTGGGGGGATATACATTACTTGGAAGATTATTCATTAGGTAGCCCTCTTTATTGCCATAGTGTAAAATGTCACTATCTTAAATGAAGTTCACAAAAAATTTAGCATTAGGATACAGAAGAGACTAATTAAAGTGATTCAAATAATAGGAAAAAAGTCCGTTCCAGTATCAGCACATATACTAAAAACGTGTTTAACCTTGGATTACAGTTTCCCACTTAAAATTTACTTTTTCCAAAAGTGGTCTTAAATTTTTCAATCTAATGGCCAAAAATATCACTGTTCCTAAATTAATCTGAAATGTGTCACTTTTGTGTTATGGCAAGTATCACCGTTGAAAGATCACAGAAAAAGGCTAATGTTGATTGCTGACTGTATAAAAACCAGAAACATAATTATACAAGCCTTTGTCAGTCCCCATGAAACCGCCAAATTGAAGAGGAATGCTGACAGCAAGCTGAATTTAGGAGAGTTTGGAAAGTCACGCACACCTCTAGGGTGCTAAGTCAGAAAGGCTGGCTTGTTTATAGTAGGGTTCTAGTTCCTATTAGCAAATTTATACTAAATATGTGTACGCATGTCTCTGTAATCACTGAATTAGTATTGTTTTCTCAGTACTATAATTGTCATAGTCTTGGTAAGGTGCCTTAAAAAATCCACTCAAAGAGGTGGTGTCAGAGGGATCTGCCAGAACAGTTAAATTTAAGGCAAAAGAGGTCAGCCAAAAGATTAGAGTAACTGTTCTTGGGAGCCACAGAGGGGTAATCTTGGTAGATTTTCTTCAAGGACACAGGACGATCATGGGGACTTACTTTGAATTAGCTTTAAGAAAATAGAAAACTGCAACGGTGAGGGAAAGGCCAGGAAAGTTGTGCAAAGGAATTTTTTCCCATCCAGACAGTGCGCCCACGACCCTAGGAGAATGTCACAGGGGAGCCTTGGTTCATTACCCACCCTGCAGCCTGGATCTTGCCCCTTCAGGCCTCTTGTTCCCCTAACTCTCACAGCATGTACGAAGAACACTATTTGAGTTCCAAGGAGGCCAAAACTGCCACTTCGATTCGGTGCAAATCAGGAAGCCCGGATATCAAATGCAGAAAGGAATGGAAATACTGTCTTCAGACGAGCATAGGCCTACATGAGGCACATGTCAAGAAACAACAGCTTCACATTTTGTTATTTTTGTTTCATATTGGTTTCTATGATTACTTCGTGTAGCAATACCTTTAGACTTACCCGCTTATAATATCTAATTTCATTGTTCCCTACCTGTGGAAAGTGAGGCAAACAATACAGTTAAAACTAACTTAATTGCAATTAGAATCATAACTGAATGGTATTCTTTTTACATGAATGTACATGTTTTTTAAAAAATCCTCATGCCCCTATTAAAAAAGCAATATACACTTGTCGTAATTTCAAAGCAAAATAAAAAAAACTTTTAAGTGAGGTAGAACATTAAGTATCCCCCCTACACCATAATTAGAAAAATATTTTATTCCTGAACCCTCACCTGCCCCAAATATCACACACACAAAATGAAAATAGAGGTTTGTTAGTTTATGAATACACATGCATGCCATGAACCCCTCAAACACAGAGAGAAGGACAATGTGCTACCGGCATGCTAGAAGGGGAGAGAAATCACAGATGTGAGCACGGAGGCCCGGGAGCACAGGGAGCCAGGGCAACACAGAGGACAAGGCGTGGGGCGGCACAAGCGCTAGAACGAACACTTGGGCCTCGCAAAATCCCTAGGCCATTAGAGCCGGGAAGCAGGAGAACACGGAGACTACAGCCACGGGAGTTTTTAGTTTGCTTCTGGAAGAGATGCTTCAATAACCAAATGTATTCCCCAGATGAGAGAGCCTGCCACAGATCACCACAGAAACGAGAGTTTTCAAAAAGATTGAGAGAAAATTCTCCTGCCTCTCAGACCGTTCCAAGCTGTTCATTCCAGAACCCCATGCCAGTTTTCTTTAGGCAATGGTTTTCAGGAAAAGTTCTCATGAGATGCATGAAGATATAAAGCCATGCTTGTGGGGGGAAAAAAAAGTAGTGTCATGGTACTCTGGGATTTCATACAAGTCTTCTTCCATACCAATCCTGAATAAGAACAAATATGTTTATAATTAATATTCCTTCTAAATATGCTTAAATAAAGACTACAGTTAACACTTGGATATTTCAAAAAAAAAAACGAAAATACGATTAGGCACAAATCCTCAGGTGGGATTAAACTATACGATAGCCTGTAGAATCATTACATGCTACACTCATGTGCTTGGGAACAGAATCAAAATCTATGAATCATTGTACTTGTGTCTGCTACTAAGTGGTCTCTAGACACAAGAAAGACCTAATAAGAGGATACAGCACAAACAATCTCCAGTAGAGTTAATGTTTCACAGAAAACCAAAGGTGATGGGCCTTGCCCTGGGGATTGTCATTCAGTAGGTCTAGGACAGGTGCCCTTGTGGCACCGTGGTTAAGCACTTGGCTGCTAACCAAAAGGGTTGGCAGTTTGAACCCACCATCTGCTCCTGGGGAGAAAGATAGAAAGTCTGTTTCTGTACAGAAGTCTCGGAAACCCCAGGGAGCAGTTCTACTCTGTCCTATAGGGTTGCTATGAGTTGGAATCATTTAGACAGCAATGGGCTTAGGTCTAGGGTGCAGTTTAAGACATTTTTACAAACACCTTTGCTTAGGAAAAAAAATCCAAATTATTAAGCACTTTTTTGTTAGTTTTTAATTCTGAGAAAAAGTATGAACATCAGGGGCTGCTAAAAATTTATGGGGGAAAATATATTGCAACATAAAAGCTCTAATTCTTAGTATCAGCCAACCGTTGTTACCCTGGTTCAATCTAATTCAGTAGGCAATTACTGAGGCTACTGGACATCAGGAATAAAAATCAATATGGAAAGCAAGTTACTCTGATGTAAAAATCCTACTTCCTGGAACTAAACTGGGTAGCTACATGAACAGTCAGTTGTCCAGCTAAGACGTGTAAAATGTCTACTATGATGTAGAATGATACCTACCAGTCAATTTGGTCTTTAAACAACAGGTGGCAGTTGTGCAGTGTGACGGCTGTGGGACTAGTAAGCCTGGATTTAAATCCAGTTCTCTCTTTTTTAAACCATTTTATTGGGGGCTCATACAACTCTTATCACAATCCATATATACATCCATTGTGTCAAGCACATCTGTACTAACACATGACCAAAGAAATTATTTTCTCATACGGTTGTAATAGCAGCAGAGGGAATGTATACCAAATGCCTTGCATGATGTCTGCCGTATGTAGGTATTGAAAATAAGAGCTAATGTTTGTCTCCCTGGTGGAATTTGATCATGACATGACTTGACACCTCTGTGACCCCGTAAATGATACATGTGACCGACAACTGCGGCGAAGTGGAAAGATGACGCCCCTTGTGATCAGAAACTCTGGGTTTAGTCCTCACCCTGCCATTCATTAGATGGCAGGACAAATGCATGCTCTGCTGCTTTATTATTTTCTGAAACAAGATTAAAACTATCTTAAGATTTGAAGGCTCCTGGAGGTGTCCCACATAAAATTACCTATAAAAGATAACATCTCACCATTACGATGCTATTACAAAGTTCAGTTACCATTATTTCCTCCCTTCAACAATTCTCTTTTGAAGTGTGGTTTACGATGGAAAAGGCCAGGTTATGTTTGCCAGTCACTGCCTACCCAGTGGTATGAATACCCCTGGCAGAGCCCAGGCATCTTGGACATGGTTCCAGAGGTTTCCAGTGGAGGTTCTTGACTTCTCAAGTCATCTGTATAAGGCCTGAAGCCTTAGTACAATTCCAGCCCAACCGAGTGTCCCCAGACCTACATGGTAAGGAAGAAAGATGTGGTGAAGCACCCTAAAAGGCTGGGAGGTGCAGTCCGAGAAGACGTCTTGCATGGGCTTCAAGGAAGACTAGAGTGAGCAGATGTGTAGTAGAGGCTTTGGGTGGGTAGGAAGGAGCTGAAATCCTAAGAGCAGCAGGTTAACTCTCACCGCTACTTTCTTTCTCACGGATTAGTTTATCAAGCTCATACTACTGACATTTTAAGCTGAAAAATTCTTTATTGTGCACACGGTTCAGCAGCATCCCTGGCATGTCCCAACCACATGCCAGTAGCCACCTCCAGTTGCAACAACCCAAAATGTCCTCCAAAGACCTCAAGTCGAATCTGACTCATAGCAACCATGTAAGGACAGGCCTCTGTGGGTTTCCCTGGTTATAACTCTATGGGAGTAGAAAGTCTCATCTTTCTCCTGCAGAGTGGCTGGTAGTTTCAAACTGCTGGCCTTTTGGCTAACAGTCCAACTCATATAATCTAATATGTCAGCAGGGCTCCTAATACAATGTCCCCAGACATTACCAAATGGGAGATAACTGCCTCTGATTACAAAACCATCAATGGCTGAGGGGTGCCACATAGGGACAGCAAAACCACATCACTCGTAGAAACGTCAGAAGGTGACAGTGGATGACTGTGCTAAATGGTTATATAACATGCTCTTTACAAAGCCTGCCACTTGAAAAACACTTCCTTAATCAAAACTGCATCAGTGGAAGATTGTTCTTTTCTACCTAGTGATTCTGACTCAATCAAAACACTGGAGCCTGTCCCACCTCCACCACTGTCAACCTTCACCCTCCCCTACACATGGTAGAGGTCAGAGCTGACGTGAGACACCCAACTCTAAAAATTAGGGCAGATCTATTCAACAAACACCTCTCAAAAACACAGATTTTAAGCAAATCATAGAATTGTCTGCCACTTACTTTTGGTAGGAAAGCAAAGATAGGGCCTATGGTATCTGCTTTTGACTAAATTGGGGTAGTATTCTTCTGTAGAACACATTGTTTACGGTACTGATCAACACAGATTTCTCTAGAGAGGCTGAAAATTCAGTTTAAATATTTTCTTCAATCTTGGGCCTTGCCAATGCAAATATTTAATTTAAGGACTACTGTTATGAGCCAAAATAAACCCTTAGAAAAATGTAGTGAAGTAACCACAGGGGGCGGGGGGCAGGCAGGGATAGGAATTCACTGAAGGATTTAAGCTCTGGGCATATACACCCATTACGATGAGGAGCAACTGGACACTGCACTGAGACTCTGACACACTGAGACTCTCGCCTTTGAGGATAACAACGAGACCATCATACAACAAAAGAAGCAGAAACACATTCCAGATTCTTCCCATCAATATTCCTTATAAAACAGTACAAAAAAGTTATGTCTCTTATTAAGACAATCCTATGATATTATGTAGGGGCATGAAGCCTGGTGAATCATCAAAATCAAACTCAGGAAGCTGGTTTTAGTTGCAAAGGCTAAACATAAAAACATTAACACAGTTCACATGTGCCAAGGAATTTGATTTCTTGAACTCCCCAAGCTTCCTTGTGGCTCGAGGATGAAAGATTTAAAACTCACATTTGGAAAGTCCACTCCCCACCAACAAACAACAATGGGTATGATAATGAGGGAGCTGAAACTTTATACCAAAGAGTTGGCTCATATCTTTGATGGCAATATTCTCAAAATACATTTATTATAAACACTTACACTTTCTATCAAGAGTTACCTCAACATCCTAACACTAGGATTTTTTTTTTTTTTGGCCATGCTCTTTCTTTGTTTTAAACCACAAAGCTAATGCTATCTTTCAAATATTTTGCTATAAATACCTGAAAGTCAAAAGCCATAAGCCCTCGTCTATATAAAGGCGAACAGTATTTCCGAAGATTTCCTGATTGATGAGACCTAAGTTGAGGTAAGCAACAAAACAATCATCCTCCACTCGCAAAAAAAGACAAAATAATCAATAAATCAGAAATGTCTTCAAAATGTGTCTTTGAGCTCTGATCTAAGAAAAAAACCTTCCTACCTCAAAATTCTGTTTTCATGAATCTCAGCTTCTAGTGAGACTCATGAAAACTGAAAATATAGTATTTAGAGCAGAGAGAAACGGAAAAATTACCTCTCACCCATGAGGGTAAAACTACAATCTTTACACACATATAGATGATTAGGATTGGAATGGAAAAGAGACTTATGAAATCTTTGAAGTCCTGAAAAGCCTGCAGACAAATGTTTCTCACACATCTTGTTGGATTTCTTAAAAGAAAAAAAATGAGATGCAAGGCATGGAAGAAAATGTTTAAGCAACATATAACTGAATCCCACTCTACATAAGGCAAAAGGAACAGCTTAAACAGCCTATAAATACGTGAAGAATTGATAGTAAGTGCGGATTCCCAACCTGTGGTGGCTGTGTGGTGGTGAAGCGATATTCTCCTTGTTTGTCTCGACTGAACACAACTTTCCAAAGGACCATGTCAAGGAAGAAGTTCTGAGAGATAGCCAGTGAGTTAAGAATTAAAAAGGACTAAGTCATTCTTTATTAATGTGAACATTTAAAAAAGCTCACACAATGCTGCATCATAGGTGAGAAACATGGTTTTGACTTTCATACAGAGAACTTCAGTTAATACTGCAAAATTATGAGTAACAACAGAGCTCTATAACAAATATAAATAATTGTAAAAAACCTTGAATGGGAGTTCTACATTTTCCACCCTACAATGGCTTTTTAAGGATTCTCAGATCTTTCCCATATTAAAACAATGCTTAGAATGATGCCTTCTCTTCTTAACATTATTTTCACTGAGTGAATACCCAGCAACTATTAAACAAGTATGAAATCACTGGAGCTCAATATAAGCAATTATTTTGTTCTTAAGTGAATAACTTAAGCAACGATGAAAGAAGTGCCTAAAAATTCAAGCCTTACAGTTTTTCTTATCTTATTAATAACATGAGTGAAAAATAAATTTAAGACTGTAGAAAAGGAAAAACATTCATAATGTGACATTATTAGGTGTGCTTCCTAATATCCAAAAATCCATTCTACTGGGCCACTGGTGGTGGTACCATAATATCCATGCTGCCCACTGTATCTAAAGACCAAGTTTATTTTTAAAGTATAATTGAAATCTAGTATAATTTCTCAGTCAAAAACTATTACCATGACCTTAATTTTAAGCCAAAAGCAAACCCCTTATTTTAAAATTGTAACTTTATCTCCCTTTTATTACTAAGATGAAGAATGAATTACACAAGTTCTGCAAGCAGATCAAAGTTTATAAATAAGCAGCATAGGAGAACTTGCCAGATCCTTTTAGGGAAGCTGATTCCAAGGTAAGCCTAATGTGAGGATCACTGAGCAATAGACAATGGAGATTTAATACATCTGGAGGTTATTCCAGAGTAAATACCAAGGAGGAGAATCTAGGAACTAATTCTGAGACTAGCTAAGTCCACAATGATCATTATTTCATATATTTAATATTTTTTATATGTAGTGGCAGAAGTATAACAATAATAATTCCTTCTTTAGCCCTTTTGTGAGTCATGGGGCATGTAGTGTCCACTTACACTTTCTGCCTCTTGGGTTTATTAGGAAGTTACTTTGAGTACAAGCTGCCATCTGGTGGAGCCTATATGAATTTAGGCTCCAGATTTAATTCATGAATCTGGAGAAATCTCCACACGTGTATCCCACAATTTATATTAAAATCTTATTACTTCAAAATGATTTCCATTACTGAAAACACAAGGTTTCCACAAAATACTCAAGCAGAATATAATTGTCTTGAAATGGTGAAATGGGAGGCTTTTCCGTCTATCACAGGCATCGGCAGTACATCCCCCACTCTAATTTCAGGACACTGGTTCATCAATTGATGATGGGCTGTGGCCCTTCTTCCTACAATCGCTCATTTCTTTGCTAGCTCACTGCTCATCATCTCCTATCTGCATCTAGTGTAACTAAGTGACACTTTTTAAGTGGACTACTACTACCAGTTCATGAAAAAGCCATAGCTTATCATATAGCCATTATCAGCTAAAATAATTTGGTTATGATGAAAATGAGACTCTGGGAGTTTCCATAATATTACCTGTCTTATTCCCCAATTACCATTAAGTTGCTAAAAGTTCCAAAGCAACAAGATATTCATTTTAGCAGTGCTTACCTCTGTCACAAGAGACACAAGGGCATTGACAAGAACAATGATAAGCATCCTTTTACGCCACGCTTCTGGTACACACACTATCTGCAGGATAAAACATTAGTGTTAAAATTTTAATATTATAGTGCTGTTGCCATTGTAGCCTTACACCATAATCTCCAAGTTTACTAAACTCCTACTTTGCGTATCATACATTTTCACATTAGCCACTTAATCTTCAGAAAGTCACAGGATATGTGCTATATTATTTTTCAGATGTCAAAACTGAAAGTTGAAGTAACATAGGTTAAATATAAATCTGTACAGTGGCTGAGCTTAGAGTCATATCCATCTTTGAAGACTTCAAAGCTCAAGCTCTGTGAGATCTTGGAGTCTAATACATCCCTACGTCTTACATCAAACCCCACCTTTAATTAATGAGACAGACATAAAGTAAAACCTACAAAAGCTGGAACTAATGGAAAGTGAAAATGCAAATACTTTCCATAAATATGAGTAATGGAAACGTCGTTAACATTGTACCTGCCTAAGGCAGAAAACTGGTGAGACCTGGGAAAGCAAGGGGGTCACGTCAAGTTCAGCCTCTGACAGGTACTACTGCAAATCAAAATTCTACATTATAAGGGAAATTCATAAAAGAATTATCCAGATCAATTTTTTAATGTAAGAGTATTTTAAAATTCGTGATTAATTTCTAAGGCTTAAAGAATAAAAGGAAAAAGTACTACTCATGCATTGATGCGTTAAATCAGAAAATATTTATCAAGTACCAATAATATTACTATTTCAGGTGGAGGGGCTGATATAATTCAAAATCTTTTAGAAAAGAAACAGTACGGTTACTGCAGGGGGGAAGGAGGAGATGCTATAAATGATCCAAGCAAGAAAGGGTGGTAGTTTTTAACTTTTGAAGGTGGGAAATGGGCTTGAGGTAAACACCGCCCAAAATTCCAAAAAACCAAATGCACTGCCATCGAGTTGATGTCCACTCAGAGTGACCCTTTAGGACAGGGTAGAACTGCCCCTGTGAGTTCCCGAGGCTGTAACTGTTTATGGGAGTAGGTAGAAAGCCTCATCTTGCAACAGCTGGTGGTTTTGAGCCACAGGCCTTGTGGACCACAGTCCAGAGAGTATGCACTATGCACCAGTGTTCCTCCAGGCAAAGACAGAAACAAATTCATTATTTAAAAAGGAAAAGAACTTCAACTGACTAGCCATGAAAAGAGAAGAGACAAGAAAGATGCACATCTGCACACAGATACACATACATAAATGTTTATTAATGACCTGAATGAAGGATGAAACAGAAGAGGCAAGGTTAAGGGAAAAACATGGAGTTTAGTTTTAGACACTGAATTTGAAGGTACAACTGTTGGTGATCCACCCAATTTAATATTTAGAGGTCAATGGATATGCAGGCGTAGAACTTGTCTGTGAATGCTAGTCTGAGAGTCTGCAGTTGGAAGGCATGAGATTCCTTGTACAGTGTGTACAGAGAGAAGAGGTCCATGGACAGGAGAGGACAGGAGGCACACTGCCATGTACGCAACAGGCAGAGGAAGGGGAACCACACTGGGCACTGAGCAGCCACACGGGATAGAAAACCAGACAAGAACAAAGCAGCACAAAATTCCCAAAGGGAATGTAAAGAATGATGGCAGGTTAACTAGGTCAAATACTGCTGAGGAGTAAGGTACAATGGAAAGAAAAGAGTTAAGGAGGTAAGTCCACTACACTGGATCAATAAGAAAATGATCAATCTGCAGCAGGATGGCAGGGGTAGACAGATGCTAGGCTAATTGTAGAGTGTGAAAGGTGAGCAACGCACAGCACTCTTTCAAGTGGTATGGTTGTGAAGTAGAAGGAACATGTGACTAGAGAGACTATGAATGTGCTTGCTTTGTTTTCTCCTTTAGCTAAAAGTCAAGCCTTAAACCCATCAATGTATCCTGTGAGAAGACAGGCACACTCATACAGTGCCTGGTGAGCCTGTGCACTACTAATATTCAATTGTATTAATACCTAATGACAATGAAATTTTAGAATTTTAATTTAGAAACTTTACTTTTGGAAAATTCTACTTTCAGATATTCACCCTGTAGAAATAACATTTTTTCCATAGTGATGGGTACAAGGGTTTGCAGTCAACTATAATTCACCACATTCATCAAAGTAAAAACCTGTGTGATCATTTCAACAGATGCAGCCAAAGTATTAGATAATTAAATTCCCATTCATGGTAACAACATTGCTGAAGAAAGATCCCTTTACCCAATTTAAGGAAAATAAAAGGAACGAGAAGCCAATAGCAAACATCCAATCACTGATGAAATAGAAGCGCTCCCTTTACAGTCAGGAGCAAGCCACAAGGACATGCGAGCACTACAGCCACCTGGAGCTCCAAAGGGTCGGGGAAAGTTTGTGATGATTCGTAAGTCACGTGTTTATATAAAAACCCTAGAAAATCTACAAATTGTAAGAACAAAGTTTGATAAAGCAGTTAGATATGAGTATCAAAATAATTACATCAATATATACAAACTAGCACAAAAGAGTTAAGACACTGATATAATAATTTGAGAAACAAAACTCTAAAGGCTCCAAGGAAGAAATCTAACAAAAAATGAGCAAAAACCTCCAGGAAGAAAATTGTCACAAACTCTTTTGAGAAGTATTAAAGAAGACCTAGAGAAACAGAGTTACATTCATGGAAAGGGAGACTAAATTGAGCCTTCCCAATAATGATTTATAAACAGTGTAATTCTACTTAAAATCCCAAGAGGAGAAGGGTGAAGAAGCTTATGATGAACAACAATGCTACGTGGAAGGTGGAGCCCTACCCAACAATATTACACGACATTTAATAAATAAAGTCACAGTAATCTGACCAATGTGGTACTGGCACAGAGAAAGACAGAATTAAAGACCCAAAACAGGCTAACATGCACTTATCTGGGGAACTGACATAAGACAGGGGTATGATTCAAGATCAGTGGGAAATGTGCTCTATTCACTAATATGCTCCAGTCTATAACAAAAATAACATAAACACAATAAAGCTAATAATGAGTGCAGTCCAAGAATGAAGAAAATGTTCTAAAACAGTAGTGATAACTGTACACTCTTTAATTGTATGTCAATTATATGCCAATAAAACTATTAAAAAGAAAACAAAGCTATATGTAAAAACGTAGTCGAATGCCACATAAGTGTCCGTTTCAGCAATAACTGATCATACATTGTTCTATGGTTCCAACTCCTGTAAAAACTATAAGCATACAATGACTCATACCAAATGTGAATTACTTTGCAGCATGCACCAAAACATTACTATTAGAATTTTATTACGATGTTAAAGATATTTCTGGAAGTGTTCTCTAAGAAACGGGCACTACATACTAAGACAAACCATTGACTGACATCAGATATGAACTACACTTCACTGTTTCAATTTATGTACACTCTACATAGAAAGAGACTTAAAGCTGTAACTTATTCATCAGCTAAGGACTCTCTCTATATTATATGGTATTGGTACAATATACATACTACCAATTTCACAGAACCTATTGTGAATGTTCACTGACTCATAATTGTCATTGGTTTAACAACTAAACGAGGGAGACGAATATGGGAAGTATGATACACTAAGACAAAAAAAGCACTAAACACAAATGAGAAGAAAAAGAAAGTTTAATCTTATTACTGTAAAATTATACATTTGTTTTCAAAAAAATATTATAAGCACATTAAAAAGAAAAACCACTACTTGAAGAGAGAAGGAGCAGCCCAGGTGGCTTAGTGGTTACCTGTGCTGGGCTGCTAACTGCCAGGTCAGCAGTTTGAAACCACCAGCTGCTCCACAGAAGAAAGATGCAGCTTTCCACTCCTGTAAAGAGGTAGTCTTAAAACCCCACAGGGGCAGTTCTACCCCATCCTACTGGCTCACTATGTGTCAGAATTGACTCAATGGCAGTGCATGGGTATAGATCAACTCATTGTGAACTTTTAAAGGAAAGGTAAAATCCTAGAACCCCAACCCCACCAAAAAAAAAGAGTGCAAAAGAGGAGTCAACAATTCAGAGGAAATAAAAATGAACAAGGCTGTGAAAAACACTCAACCTCAGTATTAATGTAAAGCAAGTACAATGACTTTGGGAAACAACTTTGCATACATGATTAAAACTATACTAGAACATACTAGAGGAGATTTTGCCTCTAGTAGTAAATTATGAGTAGGGTGGGTGGGAGTGATTTATCACTGACATTTCTAGGACAATAATATTAATTAATATTTTAAAATTGTTTTCCTAAATGCACCTCTTACTGTTGTGCTCAAGGAGCAGGACTTCCAATCCCACTCCTTTACTATGCCGCTGCTGCCACCCATCCACTAAGAGAGGGATGGAAAGAATGCTCACGGGAGCATCAAAACAGCACAACTACCATCCCAACTGTTTACAATAGAGAATGAAGACGCTAAGTGCGGCATAGTATAGTAATGGGAAGGAAATACAAACTACAACTGAGAACCATGCTGAGAGGGGAAAGTGGCCACAGAAAATTATAGAAAGCAAAAGACCATTTTCACAAAATCAAAAGCAAGAATGTATTTTAAGGCTTCTTACATATATTGTAAAACAAAAAATGAAAAGCAAGAGAATGAGAGAGAAACACTGGAATATGCTCTCAAAGGACCTCGGGAGTAGGGTAGAGGGCGGTGTGCTGACAGTGGGTTACTGATGGAACCGACAATGCTCCTTTTAGTTTGGATGATGGACTGAGGAGTGTTCCTCTTATTATTATGATTATTATGCTTAATAAACTAAATATGTGTACAAATTCTTGTGTACTAATGAAATAAACTTTGTTACTCAGAAATTGTTTAATGAAATAAATGGACATTGAAGAAGAGGCATCAAATGTAAACCACTCAATCGTTTGGTAAAGGGCAGAAAAGCATTATCTGGATTAAAACTATTTTGTTTTTAAAGATCGAGACATTTAATTCGTACACAGAGTGGAACTAAACCAGAAGACTTTAGAAAAGGATAAAGTAACACATCTAGCAAATATAAGTGGCCATTTTAATTATGTTCAAGACTCTGTTTGGGGTATCTTTGGTTTAACATGTCCCCCTGGAATGCAAGTGGTTATGGTGGTTGCTCAGCTCCTAACCCAAAAGTTGGGAGGGTCAATGAAGTGAATCAGAGGGGAATCACAAGAAAGGCCTGGAGACCTACTTCAACTATTGAAAATGCAGAGCAGTGCATTCTGACACACACGGGGTTGCCCACTCCATGACTACTAGTCTGTCTGGTTGGTTTCTTTGGGGATGTCAGGGGGAGGGATTGGTTGGCAGCAGTTAATTTAGCTGGCATCTTAGAAAATTTAGAGGAGTAAAAAAAAAAAAAGGAAAATTTATGAGAACAGGGCCTAGGAGAAGGAATGAGGACCATTTAAATTCTCCCTCAGAGGGGCCGGCCCCAATCCCAACTACTGAGTGGACGCCCGCCCCTCCTCCAGAAGAATTTATTTCAAAAGACGGCATTGAATCTGCAGCTCCTGGAGAGGAACATATCTGATTCGAGCACAC